GTAACTACAATACCCTTCCCTTTTCACGAATGTGACCTACCGAATTGGACTATTTACCGGATTTGTAATAACATAAGCAACACGACGGGTGCCACATGTGGAGCAGGAACTGCTTACCCTTCCGGAGCACCTGAGATCACCTCAGTTTTTGGTGGGGTTCGTGTTGCTTAGTCTTTAGTTTTCTATGCTGTGTCATCCGTACTATTATTTGTCTGTACTATTATTTGTCTGTTTGTATTTTTATTTTTGGCCATGGCGTTGTCAGTTTGTTTTCGATCTATGAGTTTGACTGTCCCTCTGGTATCTTTCGTCCCTCTTTTTTCTCTCTAACAAAACGGGTTAATCAAACAAAAATGTACAATACCCAGCTGATATCTGAAACTACAACATTTGTATCCAGGCTGCATGCAGATAAAAAAGTAAACTTGTGATAGACAAGGCTTCCATGCTCATACCATAAAAACACACGCCATAACATTCCTTAAAACGGTTACTTTATTTTTTTTAACAACGGTAAAGCTTATTGTAGAACAACGTCTTTCCAAATTAAAAAAAATCCATATTTTGATCTCCTATGCAAGGAAGTTACCATAATGATATAGAAAGACATCTACAGCATGCTTATTTTGCGTTGTAGTATTCAGATATACATACATTGAACAACCCGATTATTAACTATTTGGTATATATATGCACTCTCCGCTTGGAGTTGAATCACAAAGTTAACAAGGTTCAAAATTATTTAATTTATCACATAATACTCATAGCATATCACATTTCTGACTAATTCATGAGATGTTATCCTAAGTTAAATGTGCAATTGTGCCTATATCACCCTAAACCTTTGCGAAAGACGAAGAGTTAGCACTTGGTATGCTAATGAATATCCTTTATTCAAGCGTCACTTATGAGTCTTGTGAAGACGAAAAGCGCGTCTGGCGTAGAAAATATTATAAGCCTGGTACCTTTGATAAATATTTACTTTAGGCCTAACACAGTGCAATATTCTGTGAGATGTCGATAATTTGCAAGTATATTTCATTTGTCTACATGATTTATTTTCTTATGCTTGATTTGTTCAGTACGTTATACATTTTGTCTTATATCTACAGTATATCCTGTTTTATTTTAGAAAATGAACAACGTCGCTCTCATGAAAGAAATTTAAGCGTGCGTGACTTTGCAACATATAGACTCTTATAAATAAGTATCACATAACTCTTTCAAATCCTGCAATCAAAATACCGGGACCCTTCCTCATGCAGTTTATAACTAAGTTCGGGTACATGTATGCTTTGTTTATTAAATGCGAAGTAAACCTGAAAATCCTGTTTTAAAAATCGGACGACACGACCGTTTATATATATATATACTTCTTAAGAAATTAGAGAAACATTAGATTTTTGTAACTCGCAACTCGACCATCGTAACTCGCAACTCGACTTTCGTAACTCGCAACTCCACCTTCGTAACTCGCAACTCGATTTTTGTAACTCGTAACTCGACTTTTGTAACTCGCAACTTGACTTTTGTAACTCGCAATTCGGCCTTTTCAACTCGAAACTTGCAACTCAACAATAAGAAACCCTCCCACCAGAGTAACCTGAAAAATAGGGAAGTGATCTCTATCTTTACTGCCGCCATCAATAAAAACTGACCGCCACGAAATAACACAATATTATTAGTGCTGAAAGTGGCGTTAAACATCAATCAATCAATCTATTTTTGCTGTGAATTTAAAACAAAACTCTTGTTAAGTCCCCATGGGTGACTGGGGAATAGAAATATGGTATTTTAGGCCTTCTTCCGACTGGAAGTAAAACCCTTGCCAAAGTGGGGCGCTCGTTAGGCTGTGAAGGATGAACAAGTACACAGCCACGTCCGGTATGAATTGGGACGTCAAATCCGATGCATTGTATAGAAAGAGTACCACGCTTTCTGCACATTTAGTTGATTGCAACAAGTCTTTGAGGGGTCTGTAGGTGGCCTTGTGCAAGGCAATATTTCTGTCCCTATCTTATATACCCTTATTTTCCAGTGGCAGCCCAGATTGCCTCTATTACAGGACTTACCTATTGTATTTATTATTAGTTTGTTCTTGTTCCAAACATGCATGGACTATTTGGCACTGGAAGTTAAGCAACAAACAATCAATCAATCAACTCTGGTTAAGTTAATGCAAAAACATACAACATAACTCTCATTTTAAATTCTGATATAGGACAAAAACGGTAATTTACAAAAAGTGAAGCGAGGGTGAGTATGCCGTGTGTGTGGTTGTTCTATTTTACCTCCTGTTAGATAAAGCTAAAAATTTCTAATATCTCTTTAGCTTGCATGAATTATTTCTTAAATAACCGCTAGAAAAAATGTGTTTATTTTTTAAATTATCAACCCCAACATTTGCCATGTTTTATTTACATTTTTTTCTCGTAAGCTACCGTTAAATCCACAGTTGATATTTCGTAACCAAGGAGCCGCCATGTTGACTTGCTGAAATCAGTAAATGTGCGAATAATGCAATAGAATACAAAATAAAACAACATCTACCTCAAAACTCCATTTTAATTCAATATTATCCAAATTTGGAGGGTTCACGTAACGGAAAAAAACTTTCAGCTTTAGCGTTTTTATTATGACGTCATGTAACGTGACGGTACCCAAATTGCACCTATTTTGACAGTTTTTTCACCTACGTTTATTTATGATCCAGACAAAAGTTTCTATTCTGTGTTTATTTTGTAAATGTCATTATTTACTCTATGGTTCCACCAATTTGATTTTGAATCCATATTGAATCATAGAAAAATGGGTTTGAACCGACCTCCAAACGATCCATGATTCTGTAATGAGAAGTACCTAAATTGCATCCATGCTTAAATTCACATCCTTAAAAAATCGAATAATAGATGTTTTGTTTTATTTCTTCAAATATTTAGAACAATTTGACCTTAGTCCATGCTTACTATTCATTTTTTAAGAAATGAATGCTTGTAACATATTTAATTTGCTCATTTTTAAAAGATGACTTTTTGTGAACGTAGCATGGCGACGTTTTCGTAGATTTACGTTTTCCGGAGAGTGCTTCGTCGGTTGATATATGCTGTGAACGTTTGGTGTCTATCTAAATATATTTACCTTTGTTGAAAGATGTGTATAATGTCAAATCATAAAAATACATATTATTTAGTCTCAAGGAAAACTTGTAAGATTTCCGCAGCGATTTTTGTTGAATAGATGCAATTTGGGTACTGCGACATTACCTTCATGTGCTACTTTTAGAGATAAATGGGGTCAATATTTTAGACATTTACTGGAAATTTCGGTTTCTTGGACATTTTTATCCTTTAGAAAGACATACTAAACATTTTTGTTTGAAACAGATAAACGCAACCGGATTTTTTAAAGCATCGTGAATATCTTTTCTACATAAGTGTGTTTTGAATTTGTGTAATAATTCTTTGGAAATTATTCATTTTGATCACATTATGATGATTTTAGTCAACGAACGGCATTTCTTGCTGTATATTTTTCTAATATAAAAAAAAAATCGTCGGTGATTTGTTCATAAAAATTGGCACAAATATTCTTCAAACATAATCAACCCAAATGTCATTTTTTAAAAAAGAGGGGTCAATGCACTCGTTTTCAAGTTAAATCAGTCTGAATGATAAAAATTCAGTCGAAAATGCATCTTTTCCCGATATATCACAGTTTGACGTCTTAAATAAGACATAAGACTAAAGCCCGCACATGGGGTATGTTAGTACAACATTTTAACAAACAATAAAAGTGTGAACATATTTACATTAAAACAACATTGTAAACAAAGGTGCAATAATAGTATATATAATGAATACTGATATGTGACAGGAAGTACAAATTATAGTAACACGATTAAGCACATGTAATAAAAGGTTTTAATAACACTTTTGCAAAATTTTGTTAATTATTCCAGTTAGTGTAAATAAATCTGATGTATTCATCAGTTCTTTAAAATTTAGAACATTTGGGTTATTACATATATGTAAAGGTAATATGAAATATTTAGCTCTTACATTGTTGAAAAATTTGAATAAGTAATGAAAAATAACATTTTCCGTTAGCAACGTCATTACCTCCCATGTAACTGTATCGTAAGACTGGTACCCGGCCGTTATTGACAAGCTTGACAATTTGTATATTCCGAAGGCATACTGAATATTTTACGGAGGGGACCAACCTACAAGCCATTCATGCACAAAAAGCATTAATGGAATGTCACAGAATTTCATTTTATTTTGATTTTGTACATTTTTCCGAGCTCTAATCCATTAATTCTTTTTGATAAGCATTTTTTCAATTGCAATTTTTAACACAGCGAAATCGGCATAGTGTTTGCACAAAGGTTACGATACATGAAGATTTTGTGGGAGGTATATTGTAACAGCCATTATTATTTACATCTCCGAGTAATAGATATATCGAAAATTTTATCAAGGTGTTGTTTACAAAGCGAAAGAAGCACGTCATATTATAATGGTATACAGAAACTCCTAAAAATGACAATAACAATTCATCAATTTTGTGTGCCTGAAGCATTTTTGGGGATTTACCTTCATCAAGAACGCTTAAACACAAACACATGAGAGCCAAGGATGTATAAGACCTAAACATGTGAAGAGCTATATAACCAAATTGGACCTAAAATAGCTAAATTCATCTAATGAATCCCTGAGGAAAACAGAACCTCAGTTTCTTAATAATTTAATAAACAAAAATATCCACTATTCTATAGATAAAAGGAGCAATAGATTATATGTCAATGAAACAGCAACCCTAACACAAAAAAAATCAAAATCAAAGGCAACTAGAGGTCAACATATGGTTTCAACAACATACAAGTGAATGTACTGACTTGCCCCAGGCATGTCTAGGAAGAAGACTGTGATCAAACAGTCTTTCAAATATCTGGGTTATTTTTAGTTGTTTAATTAAGGAATTGAAAAATCACACAATGATTAATGAATTTGAAAAACTGTTTAATTTTGTAAATACATAACTAGAAGGATGATCTGAATACAGACTAGATCAGGCTAGGGAAGTGAACAAAATCATAATTCAGAAACTTGAACAGTATATATTTTGGCCTCATCAGGTTGACCTTGGTATGTATTACAACCTATGTACAATGTACCTCTATTGTCAATGTCTACAGAGTTTGGAAAATGGATACCTAACTGATCCTTAGTGTTCAGGTAATGAATGCACTGTCCTGCAGTGTTGAGGATATGAATCATGTGTTTATGCCTATTTGTAATTATAATATTGTCTGAATTTGTAGCCACTAAATCTTTAGGTTTCAAAGTTTGTTTCTGGTTTATATCTGGATTGCCGATGTATATCCATCTCACTCCATTGATTTTATCTAGTGCTACTATCCTACCACTCCCTTCATCATTGAGGATATCAATCACATATATGTTACTGTCATTGTCTGTAGTTATTCTATAAGGAAGGGTAAAGATAGGTTTCCCTTTGGTGTCGATGTGGTACACTTTTTCTTTATTTCCATCCATATCCATCATGATGACTTGTCTTGGACCACTGACGTGGTACGGTTTTGTTTGGTCTTCTCTTGCACCCACCAATATTTTATTATCACTTGTTACATGGACACCACGAGTTGTTAAAGGATTTACACTGTACTGTGTTGATTCCACTTTCATGGTTCTATAGGAAAGAATTTTAAGGTTAGATTCCCTTGTAGAAAGGAGTATGTCACCTGATGGCAGTAATGCCATGTTATATATATCTATTTTAAAAGTGTGTATCTTATGGAATGATTCATTTGTCAGTTTTACTTGTTGTAGTTTTTGGTTTATAGAATGACTTATCCATGTTGATGCATCTCCACAGCAGAGTAAGTTTTCAACAAGTGGAAACACTGTTTTATAGTGGTTTATCACTTTTAATTCAAATTGTTTTTGGTCATCATCATTTTCAACTAATGACCCGAGATAGAAATCCTCAACTTCTTGTTTTCCTGGTACAAATTTTGGTAACTTTTTAAAAGTAGTTTTAACATATTCAATGCTTTGATTTCTTGAAGTTTTCTCCTCTGAATGTATGCTGAACATTTGGTTAGCATTATTGGAATTTAAAGCATGGCTTAAATTCTTCTTTCTAAAGTCTAAATCTTTGTCAATCTTCTGTGATTTATTTTCTGCATCATTCACAGTTTTCATCAAAACTTCCTTTCTCTGATGGAGTTCTTTCAAAAGTTTATTGGTACGCTTTTCAACTTCATCCTTTAAATCTTTTCCTCGGCTGAGAATATTCTGCACTTCCAAATCATATTTAATATTTTCGGAAGATTTACAATTTCCCAGTTCAGATAATACTTTCATATTTTGCATTATTTTCTGGTCAATCTCAGAATTGAAAGTTTTGACAGTTTTTATGGTAAGTTCATATCCTTTAGCTAATTCAATCATCTTGTGTTTATCATGTATGTTTGTAATACACAACGGGCAGACAACTCGTTCACAAGATTGACAAAATAAGCAACAGTTTTGTCCTGCATGAATTCCACATGGAATGTTACTAAAATCTAGTTTATCCTTAGTTTGTTGCTGATGAGAAGCAATGTCCGCAATGTCTATGATGGTATGCTGGTCAGTAGATTTAACTTTTTTATGAAGTGTCTGACATTTTGTACACAAGAGAAAGTTACACAGTAAACATTTCCATTTGATCTCACTAGATTCCTCACACATCTGGCAGAACATCGGAACTTGTCCCCTCTGAAGAGATTTTGATAACGCCATCATGTAGATGTAAGTTTTTTAACGCTCATTTTGCCTTTAATTTTGTTCACATTACAAACAAGGAAATTTTATATCACATGATTATTTAAATATGTTTTTTTTTCTCACGGTACAATGATACTATTTGATCTGTTATATCTTATAATGAATAATTGCTATCGATAAAACAACTGCCCATATGATATATTATACTTACAGGGAACAACGTATTAAAATTTGATGACTTTTTGTGTTAATAGGATATTACTACTCAGAGATGTCCTTGTGTTTATCCAATACTTAAACTGTCTTCCTGATGTTAAATTTTCTCGTATCTAAACACTTTCAGAAAAAAGATGTTTGTAAAGTTCATATTAGGAAGAAAAAACTGTTTTCAATTGATCAGACTGATTCAGCTTACCGTACATAGGAATATTTTCGTGTGTGCCTATTTTATTCTATGTTTGCTCAATTTTACGGCAAAATTAATCCTAAAGAAACATCTCACTGTCCTTTTAAATGCAAATGTACAGGACTGTGAAACATAGACTAAAGTGCGTATGATCTAACAGACAACATTTTAGTAAGGAACAGACCTCCTTCACTTGATTCAAAATTTAGAATTAAAGTGCATAAATTCCCTCATTTGTTAAAGAACTCAACTTAACCAACCACCCGAATAATTCAGTCTATATTCTGCTTCTCTGCTACATTAACGGCTTACGGCTTTGTTAAAGAAAAATCGTAAATCATTTGGAATCAGCTCCGGATTACGTTAAGTCACAAGCTAATTGGCCTTCTCATCCAGAGAGTGCCAATCAAAATCCTTGATTCGTGATTTTTATCATATCAAGAGTAAAGGTCTGAATGTTGATCACGAAGATGGACTGAATTATTACGGTTACTTGACTAGATGAAATAATGGTAATAAACAATTGTGGTAACATTGCATTGACAAAACTTAATTGAAAAATGATGACTTGCTTTTAGAAACATATACAGGATATATATGCTTGACTTCCGGGTCGAAGTTGAAATAAAGGTCATAAGTTTCTTAAAGCACCACTTACTTTAAAATGAAGGATAATTTTACTATTTTGTTAAACGGATTAGATGGGGTTTGTCTTCCACATGAGTACTGGCCTTACTAAAAACAGTGAAATGATAAAGAATTAAGTTGATAGCATCTTTAAATCACAAGGGAACGGGAGTAAGTTATGATTTAATTTTCTGAATAAAATGAACGAATCGGTTAATCAATAACCCAATAAAAAAAACAATAATAATGGTTAAACTAATGGAAATTTTGTTAACAGACTTACGCCTTAAAGAAAAAAAATATTGTTTTCTATTTCCCTTTCTCGTAGATATATAATGTACATGATATACTTAAAAACAAATGCTCAAGCTAGCAGTCTCGGATATAAATGTTTAATCTTAAAATACTATTAGGTTTTCTGATTGGTCAATTCTTCTATGCATTCAGAAAGTACTTTCTGCATAGTAGGTACGACAGTCTCAGGAACAAAGTTCGAAAAATCGGCAAAATCGGCAAAATTATCATATTTCTGTGTTAACGAAAAATCGTCAATCTATTGTGAAGAGTCCATATGTGTCAAGTAATCAAATCCCCACGTCTTGGCGCCATGAATATATGCTTCCTTATCCTTCCAAGGGAATGGATAGGTATTATCAAACGTAATACTGAGAAGACCCTTATATATCAAAAGGACGACACTTATTTGTTGCTCATATTAACAATAACTTTACATTAAGATCCCCACTGATTCTTGCATCGATTTAAGCGTTATTCTTTAAACAATTCATCTGTGAATACATAGTGTTGATTAAATGATACCAGATAGATATATATGTCTCTGATGATACCATTAATATGTTGTGTCTTTCCGCAGATACTTCAATTCACCTCCAAACAAATCAATGTTACATTTATTTTTTTTAACTTTTCTATTTTTAAGATATAGTTTGCTCTATTTTTTAAATTAATCTAAATAGTTATTTAGCTAACTATTGTCACGTGTCAGATATTTAAATTTACATTAGTTTACACAAATTCTATTTGCTTAAATATACAAAAGGGATGAGACACAAGTAAATCAAACTTATAAAGTCTTCTCTTCTACTATTCACAAAAATGTTCGATAAAAAGCGTTTTTATGCCGTATGCTATGATTTGAAATGAGTAAGTTGTCAACAAATTCTCTTTGGTTAAATTAGTCTTAGACAGTATATAAAACATATGACGTTAAACACACAAACATGTTTTAACTTTGAAATACCTCTACTGTCTTCCTCTATACGTTAAACTGGTGCAGCACGCACTCCACCATTTAATAGAAAGATGCAATCATCTGAAATGTAAAATACCAGAATCAAAGTTTTTTTATCATACAAAAGTTCTGTTAAAGATTCAAGAATGTTTGTTACGTTTTACGAAAATACTTCTAGGTCTTTATTTCTACAATTTGATAAAACCTAATTAAAGAGACTGAATAAAGTTATAGGATTTTCCAACAATAGCTTTAAATGATAGATTTAGAAAATATTCAAAAAAAAACACGACTCTTTAGTGGAAGCAAATACACGAACAATTGACCCTGTCTCGTATTTACAGTCATTGTGGGAGTACAAAAAGATCCCAACATCATAAAAACACCCTTACCGCAGAACATTATGATTTCAGGGAATGCACTAAGTGATATTTTACATAACAACATTGCTCATTTCGTCAAAACATCCAAAAGGCATTGCTATTGCATATCGTATATCTAGTAACCTCGTCTTTCCCAATAATCTTTCCCGAAGTCAAACAGATGTGATTTTTCTGTTTTAGATCTTGAAGAAGGTACCGTTGTTCATTTCTAAGATCTTATAGTCACACTCACTGTTTGTATTGAATCTTTGGAAGCTTTTCTAGGTGTTCAGTTGCTTCGAGCCTCGAGGAAGTCCTAATTATAAAAAAAGAACAAACATTGACTTTTTGTTGTAAGTTTAAACAATTTGATCTGGTGGGTTCTTTTATCTCCTTTGTCGGGAAACAGTATTCCAAATAATTGTGACGTCTAGAAAGGCTATTTTTGAGTTTTGATGTTACGACTTCCTACGACATGCTTGAAGGAAGGCGTCCAAAAAATATATCAAATAGCCGTACAAAACGTCATAATTATTTGGACTAGGGAAACAGATAATGTAAAAAGTACAAATATCTATATTTACAACCACTTAGTTTAAATCAGTCCAGACTGAGAGGGTAAACCGTCACGGAGCTATAATTGTAAAGGACATTATATAGAATAAACTACGCCAAGAATTCAAATATCGTTAAATATTCAACGAGTGATCAAGCAACACAATAACTTTCACGAATGTACATAGCGCATGAGTGAACTAATACTGTTGCTGAGTCACGAGTTGGAATAATTTTCGATAATTTAATTTGTCTTTTAATGTAAATAAAGTAGAAAATGCAATGAACTATATCTTCTTGTATGCGTTCTCATTTCATTTTAAGGCAACGTCATTTACAACGTCTTGACAACACCTATTGTTGAATGACGTCAGATGCGTCTTTCACAAGCGGAATTATCGAGGTTTTTTAATGGCTTGCAGCCTATGTAATAAAAAGTAAAAAAACATAAATACCGAAATCCGAGGATAATTCAAAACGGAAAGTCCCTAATTAAATGGCAAAATCAAAAGCTCAAACACATCAAACGAATGGATAACAACTGTCATATTTCTGACTTGGTACAGGCATTTTCTTATGTAGAAAATGGTGGATTAAACCTGGTTTTATAGCTAGCTAAACCTCTCACTTGTATGACAGTCGCATAAAATTCCATTATATTGACAAGAAAGTGTGAACAAAACAAACAGACATAATAATTTTATTCGTTCATTGTGTGTTAATTTACGTTTTTTGATTAAATTAAGCCTTCCAATTGATATTTTATAGTGTGTTTTTCTATGTTGTGATGTTATACTATTGTTTCAGAAAAGGGAGAAGGTTTGGTACCATTAAAACGTTTAATCCCGCTGCAAATGTTTGCACCTGTCCTAAGTCAGGAATCTGATTACAGTAGTTGTTGTCTGTTTATGTAGTTCATACGTGTTTCTCGTTTCTCGTTTTTATATAGATTAGACCGTTGGTTTTTCCGTTTGAATGGTTTTACACTAGTAATTTTTTGGGGCCCTTTATAGCTTGCTGTTCGGTGTGAGCCAATGCTCCGTGTTGAAGGCCGTACCTTGACCTATAATGGTTTACTTTTATAAATTGTAACTTGGATGGAGAGTTGTCTCATTGGCACTCATACCACATCTTCCTATATCTATAATAGGTACAAATGTCAAAATAGGGGTACAGCAGTCAACATTGTGTTATAATCTCAATCACTATATAAACAAACAAATATGTCAACAAAGAAAAACAAAATGGCATACAGACAAAGCACATACGCAAAAAATGAAACACAAGAATACAAAAAATGGCCACAGCACAACAACATAATGGCGGGATGTACAAGTACCGAGCCACGCCTAAATGATATTACCAAAAATGGAACAAACAGTAAACGTTAATAATTTACAAAGACAAATAAAAGTACACTATGACACATACTTAAGATGATAAACAACGTCAGTACCTAGAATCTATACTTCAAGACCATCGTGTATTATTTGTGAAGTTGATACGGAATATTTATCAACAAGGTCTTGGTATCTTCCAATGAACTTTTTTAGAAAAACGACGAGACGTTCTTTGACATAACCATGGTTCATCAACTTTCTGTTCAGGCACTGGTGACGTTTTATAAAGTCTGAGTAGCAGCTGCAAGCTCTTGAATACCGAATGAGTTGGGAAATGTATATCCCATATGCAGGTGAAGTTGGTATATTGCTACTGAGGTGGGGGGAATTGATAATTTCAAAATTAAACTCGTCTCGTTTGTCATATATTCTGGTACTGAGATGGCCGCTTATGTCAAATTCGAGTGACACTTATATGTCGTTAGAAACAACGGCAAAATTGAACATGTCAATTCAGAAATTGTGTTACATTATGGGATTTTTTTTTATTTTACCTGAGATCTCAGATTCTACTGATTGTTGATGCTTTGTTTACATAGAGAGCTTGGATTGATCAACATAATAACAAATAGATTTAGACTTAGTGACAAAGTTTACGTTGGTCACCGATTGAAT